ACCAGCAGCTCGACCTCCGTTTCCTTTTGCGTCCTCGTGTTATCCTGTGGGCAATGATCCTTATCGAAGCTGCCGTGGACGCCCTCGATCTTAAAGCACACCTTCCTATCGTCACCGCGACCCCTTCGCTTCGCGTTCGCTGCGTCGGTATCCTTACCATTAAACAAGTCAATCATGGTCTGCTCGATTCTCAGTCTCTCCTTCAAAAAGTCCTCGAGCATCGTCTTCCTCACGGATTTGGACGCTGCCGTCGTACCGACCTCTGACGCGTCGTAACTATTCTTTCCGTAAATTCCAGTCCGGGGCTTAAGTGTCCGATCAACAACGGGTTCCTCCAAGGCGACGGTGTTCATGCGCTTCAGATCGAGAGTATTGAGCTTATTGCGGAAATTCTGATGGCTTTCCGGGCTCTCTTCACTATCCTGGCTTGCGCGGTCCTCGTAAAGTCGGATAAGTCGTTGCGTCCGCGTTGCTGGATGATTATGACCTCGTCGGCTACGTGTCGGCTCCATAATTTGCACGGATTTGCGAACATTGCTTATCGGCTGTGACGACTGCTTTCGCTTGCTGCTTCGGGGCTGGTTCGACCAGGAAGTCAAAGCACTCAACATCGCCGGAAATCGTTGTCTGTGCACCGAAGATTCGGGCTTCTTGGCTCTTTGGGGATGGAGGATTCTGGCTGCAGGGCGCTTCGTTATCACGAGAGGATTTGTTATTTCCTGAATGGGCTGGTCATCGCGATGCCCAGTCGAATCGATAGAAAAGCAACGGGAGCACGTAAGGAACTTCATTGTTTAGTTGAGTTGGAGGTTCTTTTTACGAAGATAGCGTTCTTCGCCCGTTTTCTCTCTTCGTTTACGCTTCTCAATTGCCGGCTACTCGCAATTCTCCTCTCCCACTACTTTCTCCGCAAGTAATAAAGAAGCTTTCTTGCTTATTATCGCTGACTATATATATAGTCTTAACTTCGTAATGAAGCGAAGTAAGCTATTTTTTGTCAATAAGTTTCCATAAAAATTACGATAGTCGATCATTTACATTTAAGCAAATGATCGTATCGAGTTTAATAATCGTACGACTGGATTATTGTGATATTGTTATTTGGCCTAGAGCTTGAGCAAGCTCGCATCCTTTAAACGACAAAAATCGGTAAGACTCGAATAGAGTCAGAATAGAGTATCAATTTCTAAAAGGATAAATAGTCTATCGCCAGGAAGAAAATCGTCCTCCAATACAAGCTACCACACATATTCTATATAACTCTTTTATCACAAAACTTTATCACCTCCGATAGTTACGATCATGATCTTACTGAGGAAAACAAGGCGTCCACGCCCGGCGACGCATTGTCCTCGAAAGTCCGTCGTCTTCGCGGAGGTGTCGCGTTGTGTACTGATCATCTCGACAAAAGGGAGAGAGAGAGAGCCCCTCTCAACTACTACTACTACTTCTCTCTCTCTCTCTCTCTCTCTGTCTGTCTGTCTCTGTCTGTCTCTGTCTGTCTGTCTGTCTTAAGCAAACGCTCGTTTGCTCTATCTATCTCATTTAAAAGGAAAGCGAAGGCTCTTAAGTGGCTAGGGTGTGCCTTCTTGGGACATCCTCGCTAAAACAAGTCAAGCGAATAGGACAACGAAGAGCGAGAGGGTGTTCACGTGGGTGAGGTTCGAAGCAGGTGCACGTGTACGTGAGTTGAGCGATGATAAATAAAGGTAGGGATCGCCGATGGTGGTGGTGGTGGTAATGGGAGGGTAAGGAGAGGAGGAAGTGAAGCGGTTGTTTCTTTTTTAACGGTTGCTTGAGTTTTTCTGCAAGCAGATGTCAAGGGGATTGGTAACCGATCGTCAGCTTCGTATATCTTAGGCGTCACTTAGCCTCGTCTCTAAGTAACCAATAGTACAGCCATTGTGATTATAATTCGACGACGATTAACCACGGATGATTCTATGAAGCAATTGACGTTAGCAGGCGCTCCTATTTTAGGGAAAAATGCGCATTTGTTTGATGATATTGAGGCGAAGGACGCCAAGACGTTGTTGGACGTCAATTCCCTTGAATGGGTGTGGAATTGATGACAATAGCACCAGCATTTTAACAAGATGAAAAAGAAGATGGACTATGTATAACTTTGCATTAGGTTTCAATTACTGAATATAGCGCATTAACTTATGTTTATTAAGAAAAATCTATCAATTAGACGCTTCGTTCGATATTTTAATGGTGTTTGAAGTATTTCAATTATTTTTGTTCAATAAACATCTCATAATAGAGTGTCTTAAATAAATTTTCAGAAAGAATAACAAATAAATTTATAAATATATAAATAGCTTATTGTAATTATGTGCGATTCGAAAATTAAACTTAAATTTATTTATATTTTCCGTTTTATGAATAAATAACTATTTTATTATTAGTACTGACGTAAAGTATAATAAGGAAAAACTAGAGTATGGAATGTTAATACTGTTGAATAACGAAAAATTTCATCAAAAACTATTTACACAAATATATACATATGAACGTATGTACGTTTATGTATAAGCGAAATATTGATAACGAATGGATTTAACATAAATCGATGAAAGTGTTTAAAATTAAATATCAATTTTTAATGTGTTTTTTTTTAATGTTTTCCGGCATGAAGTTATTCATGAATATACGTCTCTGACTGGTGTATGTGGGTGCGCGCGCATGCGCATGCGCGTGTGTAAATATTATAATTATAGAATATAAAAGTATTTCTCAAAAGTATGTAAATAATACTATATAGTGTTAGTAATTTAGAATAAAGTAATATATTATTATTATTAAATTGTATTATCACATTTAATCGTTGAAAACTTAATTTTAACTTAATTATACGAATAATTTAATTTATTTCTCTAAGAAATCTTTTCATATGTAATATTATTAACATTTAAATATTAATGTGTTGTGGACGGTTACTTGCTATTCTGTATACTTTAATATTGATATATTTGACATAAGTACAATCATATATAATATTGTAATACGATGTAATGTATTTATCATTGAAACAATATTGTTATGAAAGTTTGTTTCAATTAAATGAAAAGTGTTTCACATATTTCGGTTAAAAATATAAATTTAATTTGCAAAAGAACATAATATTTATTATAAGAGATAACTAAAACTGCGGATGAAAGCTTAAATCGTTATTTATTTCATATGTATTTTAATGAATAAGCGACGAAATGAGAAAGCGAGTATGATCGCGTGATCGAAAAAATGTTGATAATTAAATATCAATTACACTTCTGGATTTATTTATTACGTTCTAATTTGTGTATATAGAATTTTTAAAGCATTATTTCGAATATAAAACTTTATTTGTCCTTTGTGTGAGCCCTTTGTATGTCATTTGATAAGAAACGATCGTATTTTATTTTTGTTAATAAAAGATATCTGTATTGACAAAATTCATCAGAGAATGTAAAAATCTTGATAAACATGCTGTAACTAAACAGCCTGATAACTACTTGTCGAGCTCATCTCATGATATTAAAGTCGATTTGAATATTGAATAGTCAAGCGTCAACATCGGCATACCCGTGCATTCGGCCATTATAAAAGCTACATAGGAAATTTGCTTTTTTATACTCTTACGGTTGAATGGCTATTTATATCGGCTAAGCATTGCATCCGCATTTTGCCAACGCCACTAGTGTGATTATACGTACGACGGAATTCAGCGCAGCGTGACGCACAAGATATTATTGCTGTATAAGTGTTATAGGGCGCGGGAGGGAGAAGCAGCAGGGATCGTCTCCTCCGTTATGTACTTTGTATTTCCTAGATGATTGACGCTGGGCCTGGTGAAATAAGCAATGTCATGGGAAGACGAATTGGCGGGAAGGACGAGAAAACGCGTGCGCGCATTGTGCGCGCGTGTATGTGCATGTGTGCGCGCGCGCGCACGACGAGCCGAAGCAGGGAGATATCTCGCACTGCGGTAACCTAAATATTCCATCAGCAGCACTAGATTGAATTGAATTGGATTCGGTAGTTCGGATTTTGTATTCCGAGATCAACATTTTTCACGACGTGCTTTAATGTTTTAACGATGAGATTATGTTATATTGAAAAAATTTACTCACATAACTATTTTCATTAATTTTTAGTCATGGTCATAGTCATGGAGATTAAAAAATTCATGTTAAACTAATTGTTAAACTTATAAACAATAATGTCTTTATACATTTAGTGCTTATGCCGTATTATTATTATTATTATTATTATTATTATTATTATTATTATTATTATTTGTTTGAAACAAATCGTAAGCAATTCGTCATTTTTAAATCATCGCATCAGCTTAATCGAATTTCCGTATATTATTGTCGCGATTGATCTTATTTAGTAAATTTACTTTTATGTAACTACAATTTAGTAACCATGAAATAGAAAAAGAAAATAAGTGTTAATTGCGTATTATAATTAAATACGGATGTACCTAATACCTCTTCTATTTGATTTACGAATAATTATAGAGAACAAAGATCCATTACCCAAAAGATTTTTGTTTTAATAGGAGAGTTTTTATAAGTAAGTTGAATTAGATGCTTCCGAAAATAACAATGCAAATTGTGCGACAATAATGACAATACAAATTTGTTTTTGTTCTTGCATATATTATGTAAGTATTTGAAAAGTTAATGTAGACTTAAAAAAGAAGACACGTATCAATTAAATAAGTTAACGTTAATATATTTCATCAATAATGTATACAATAACGAAAGAAAATATTGAATTATTGAATTAACATAATACAATAAATAAAAAGTTGTACGATAGATCTTGTTCCTATTTCATAGATGTCAAAAACAAAAAAGAACAAAACAAAAGAACAAAAAAAAAACAAAAAAAAAACAAAACACCAAAAAACAAAAAAAAACAACAAAAAAAAAACAAAGAAAACCAAAAATAAAATAAAAAAAAAAAGTGTAATATTCTTACAATTTAATAGGATTAATTACAGTTTTTTAGATAATAAAACTCTGCTCACCCGTTTCACTTTTTCTTGTTTCCGTAGAAATAATATGTCTATTAGTTGTAGTTTTTGTCGTGATTTCTAAATAATATACACGTCAAATATTAATTCTTATTATTATCTCTATGTTACAATCAAATATTTAGCTTTCGAGCAAGATATATAAAATAACAAAATTTTTTCTTACTTTTAATCGTATCGATCGAAGTATTTTCCTGAAGACTGCTTTTGTAAATTCTTCTTTTCGGCGAACCGTTGTCTCTGAAAACAATAGAATTTTAATTTAAAAATATATTTCTCTTATGGCGTGAATCGAGATTTTAATATATTTAATCCCAATACAGACGCTGCGATAATACTACTATAATTAGCATTTTAAAACGTTTTCAACTCAAGTCTTTTTTTCTTTTATCAAGTTCCTGATACATCAAAAATGTATGAGAGGATGAAAAATTACCTTAAAACCAAGTTATTAAGGTTCGCGAACCAATACCGATTTTTGTTTCATTAGCTACTTTAGGTATCGACAGATTTGAACATTTTTCTTTGTCGAGGACCCGCAATAATCTTAATAAGATGATGAAAGGTTGATGAAAAAATTAAGATGGAGAGTTTTATCAATTTCTGTGTTTATGGGCCTGGAAAAAAAAAAGATTCAATAGACAGAAGAAATTCCAATCAGCTAATGGCGGTAATAAAATTCTTTCAAGTAATTTGTTTTCTTCGTCAAAGTTTTATAACAAAATTGGTTTATTTCATTTTAGGTCGTTCATTTAAATATTAAAATTTTTTTTTTTTTTTATTACCGATTAAAATTTCTTATTAACGGAGAGAATCGCGCTTATATTTAAACTTATAAGTAAACGTCTAAAGTGGTATTGCTAAAATGAAAAAATTATTTAAAAATTTTATCTCATATTTTCGACTTAAATAATGACTCAATCAATTTTCAATGAGAGCATATATTCGCTACGAATTTAATAAACATTGATTAAATAAGATTTTCATTTTGTAAATTCTAGGAAAATGATATTTTCCTCCATTTTTTGTCGATTTGGATCTGTATTTTGTCGCTAATCGGTCATAATAATAGATAACATTCACCAAATGTCTTAAAGATAATGTAATTAGCTCTCGAAAAAGTTCTATTGGATTAATTTATTGTCTTAGCATTAAAAACTTTGTTTATCGAGATGGGGAAAAAAACGTTATTGACGGCAATTTAAATTCTCCATAATATTATAGATTTACTAATCAATATTGCATAACTTAAAACTTCCTCACCGGCGCAGCAATAAAGCAAGGAAATGCGGTCGCGACGAAATACTCATCCACGATTAAAGCCTTATAACAAGATTCCTCCAATTGAAAGCTTGGTGCGAATTATACAGTTTCCGGCCCCGATGCATCCATTACAAAGTATCCAAAGTATTCAAATAACCAAACAGCGGATAGGTGCACTCGGCTTTGGAAAACGCTCAATAAGTCACGTCATCCGATTAGTCCTCTTCAACGAAAATCTAATTTCATAATTGCGCGCGGTCACTCACGGCTTATCGAGCGACTAATGCAAATGATAGAAAATGGGAGCACACGCTTTGCGGGAAATGATCATTTTCTCGACCAACGCTTGGCACGGACTTTAGCGAATCGGCGAGCCGTCATCGCCGAGCTTTCTGTAGGCGCTCAACGCGTTAGATTGGCTTTTACGGCGAGGGAGCGAGGGAGAGGAAGGGATTGAGACGAATATATGATACTGGAAAAGCGCGTATAACGAGGTAGGCTCGGACGCACCCTGTCTCACGTGACGTCATGCTCGACAATATCATTCCGCTCTCCATTGGCTTTGCCACGTATTTCCGCCTTTTGACAAAGTAATAATCCGCCTCTTTCCTAACCCGATCCGACCTTTTTACGTATTCTCTTCGTGGCAAAATTTACACAGTTTTCCCGTGAATAAGCGCGTCGAGCCCTGTGCTAATAATTATTATTGGCGATAAATAACCTATTCGGTATTAAATCTTAAATATTATTGTGACATTATTATTGTAATTCGGTATTAGTACGCTACGTATCGCTAACGTATCGCTACCAATAGAATTAAGTATTTGATAAGTATGAATTGATAGCGGCAACGGAGGTAGAATTTATGTTTTGATTTATATTCAAAACAACATAACGCACAATGAGCGCCATGAGATTTTTTCGTTTTGTTTTGTAAGACGAGCTATTATAGCGTATCGTTGATTTAGTTGTTGTATAAGTCATTGGGTAAATTAGGTAAATCGTCCATTAAATAATATCTCATATATTGATTAAAAAATCGTTTTACGTTAATAATTAACTTTATTAATGCTATTACATATACTTTGAGGCAATTGGACGCTGAGTTCTGAATAGCGATCATGCTTATTTAATATTTTAACTTTTAATATAACATAAATTTTTAACTCGAGGTATAAATTTTCGTTATTAAACCGTGTTTCTTTGAAATTCGAAACTAAATTTATGAACAGTTCTTATTTATTGGCTCATTTGCGTCGGATAATGAACGGTGAATTATAAAAATCATCCTTATATACTCTAATGAATCGTCTTGAAACACATTTAAGATATTCATTATTTACTATTTCATTTTATATTAACTTTACAAGGGGTGGAAAGTTTATTTATTTATCTTTTTTTTTTCTTCATTTTTTTTTCATCTTATTTATCTTAAAACGAGTACGTCATAATATATTTAGTTTATGCACAAAGTTTATAGCTTATATAAATTGGCAATGCAGTTAATTTTTTATCACGTAGACACAGCTCGCTAATCAAAAACATCTCATTTACGCACATTGGCAGTTATGATGCACGAGCTCATTAATTTTCATGGAAGAAAATTGGTTTTATGTTGTTATTTAGTACCGACGATAATTAATTGCTTGGGATAACATTAAATAATCATTTGTTACAACATCCGTGTTTTGGTAGAAGTAATCGTTGTATTTTCTAAAATGAGGAAAATTCTAAAATCGGCAGGTACTTAAAATTTTTTACTAAAAATAATACTCTCAATATTACTCGATAGAGCTCGACAAAATTATTATTATGATTTCTTTTCATTTTTCAACTAAAGTGTCGTTGTATAGGAATAGCTTGGATAACTTGACGATTATAAATAGTACATTATTTTAAGAATAAATTAAAGGAATTTGCATTTGGTTGTAATCCACGGTTTTTCAAATGAAATTTCAGTTTCAAGTGTATAAAGTTTAAGTATTGTAAAAGCATTCTCAATTACTATAATAATCATGAAATGCACTCTTCCACATGCATGCACGCATGCATAATAAGCTCTGTACGGTTTGAAAGATTATTAAGCAACTTTATTAAAACAAATAATTGAGCAGACCGGTAGCTGCGGAGTCGCATTGCTCCAACTTCCTATAACACTTTAAGCGATATGGAAGTTGGGCGAGGAGATTTTAATCAATAATTTAGTGCCATTGGAGTGCGCAAGTTTGCGTCCATCAAACGTCAATTGGGCCGAGTCGAGCATCAAACATGTAATTCAAACGTAATCCCAAGACTCACTGATTCAATCCTAATTTGAGGTGGTCGCCTGCGTTGCGCAGCAGCCCATGAGCTTCGCCGTTCGTTAATTCACGCGTACTCCTGCCGTTGATGCTGCTAATCAGGTCGCCCTCTCTCACTCCCTGTTGAGCCGCTTTACTTCCTGGATTCACCTAAAAATAATCGAGAAGAAAATCGCCATTATTAACGGGAAGAGCG